TGAAGCTAATTTTAAGGAGGTCGCGCCATACACGTGATATAAAGTTAGCGTTTGCACTGCTGGCCCTGGCTACGCCGTTGACCAAACTATATATCCATTTACTATAGGCAAATTAGCTTCAAAATTAAGACTTCAAAGGTCGCATGATACGCGGGTATATACGGTATGTTCATTGCATCAAGACACGCGCTCTCTTGTATAAATAAAGGATTAGTAAAAATTAAAAAGTAAACACTATTTTCTATCGTTTTTGTTCATAATTAAAACCTAAACCATTAAAAAACGTAGCAATAAAAAGTTAATCAATTTACTAATTTCATCAATTTCCAGTTCGCTTCTAGGACAGTTCTTTCATGACCAAACGGGTCCATTTCGACAGAGGAGGTAGAAACTAGGTTTTAGGATAAGAAAAGTGCTCTGTGGTGTCATGGATATCAGCTCGGAGTGAGAAAATCGGAGAACCGAATTCAAATTCCAATCAACTTCGTTGCATTCGCTTACGCACAAACAGCCTTGGGAAAGGTATGAATTCGTTTCTTTTCCCCCGAGCTATGGGTTGAATTGCAGGACAGACTAAGTTTAGTAAATATCAATTATGTAATTGTTATGGAGTGGTTTCACAGTAGAGGCTTGTATTTGTACTAAGTCGGCCCTAAAAATAGGTTCGACGTACAAAACGTTAGGAACTTGATATAATAGGTAATGACACAGAGAAATCTAGTGGTGGTCGCTGATACTTTAGTATCCGACTAACGGTCGTCCGGCATCGACTGACTAACCGAATCACTGAGCCGACTCCTCGTTACTCTTACTACTCCTACTTATTATAGGTGGGAGAGTCTATTAACTATAAAATAGGTGTGTTCCACTATAACAGTAATTTGTTTATATTTATTTACAAAGTAATTTGTTTATATTTATTGACAATTGGCTGGTTACATTCAGTGCCACGAAAACAAAACTACCATATATACTCGCGTACCATGCGACTTTTGAAGATCTGATTTTGAAGCTAATTTTAAGAGGGTCGCATCTTACACGAGATCTAAAATTAGCGTATGTACTGCTGGCCCTATATATCCATTTACTATAGTCAAAAAGTACAGATGTATTTCAAAATAAACATGAATTTGATAAAAAATAATGATATACTAAAATTTATCCAATAATAACGCATGTAATATTCACATATTAGTAGCATATTAAAAAATACAAACATAGAGAATATGCATCTTTTCCATTGTTTACGTTTCTAAGATGTTTAGCTGTTTCTCATTCGGTTGTTTGTAGCTGTAGGCGTTTACGCAACGAGTATAGCAGTACTAACGATACTTTTATCATTGTCTTTTATTTTTTTACTTTTTTAACTAGAAGATGGGATAGACATAGGAAAAGAGGTTAGTATTGTAATTTGGTCTTTCAAGAAAAGGAATTCGCATGATACACGAGACACATGATAAAATCATTTTTTATAAGTGAACATTTTGGGGGTCGCACGGTACGTGAGATCGCGCGTTACACGAGTATATACGGTACTGTAATTTTATTTTTTTCAATAAAGGTTAATAAATAAAAAAGGGGGTTTACTTTTGGCGCGCCTCTGTATATTGTTTTACTTACCTTTGAGGAATTCTCGGTAATACATTTGTATTCGTCGGTCTCGGGCAAATCGACATAATGGATATCCCGCGTTTTCTTTCTCTCGTATGTGTCTGACTCTGCGTTCAGGTAACTCGACTCTGAGAAAAACAAAGGAAGCAAAGAAAATATTATTGATTCACGAATGAAGCAGGAACATTTATTTTTCAACAATTTTCTTTTAAATTCTAATTTTGGCATTTGCACAATTCCCAAGGTGTCGCTGTTCCTACTCGGACCTACCTGCTTCTGCATCCCTTTTCAACTAACTTATTGACACTCGGTAAATATGCTCTCTTACTACTCACTCTCATGAACAGAGATGCACAGTACGTCGCCCCACCCCTTGGGGACAGGCACAGCTACTTATGATCAGGCAGTTTACAATCGAATCTGAATAGAATATTTACTATTAACTCATTTTAATTGATCGAGACAAACAATGTTAAAACTTCCAATGAATTAAGATCAGAAGCCATATGTGTGTTGGGCTATTTATTATTATTATTATTATTTTCTTTGATTACTGGCGTTTACACATTTCTTTCCGGGTCCCGCCCAGAGACCTAAGGAATGGCATCATGATACTTTCCTCCGACAAAAAAAAAAATACATAGATAAAGCCTTTCGTAAAGGGCTGTACTTGTCAGAACAATTTTTTGTATCTCTTTGAGGCATGGACTTCCAGGAATCCCTTCAACTAGTCTACTGGAATCTTTTCCAATCAATCTTAGGGCTCCAACTACAACAGGGATTGTTGATGTTCCCATGTGCCACATTTTTGGGATTTCTATTTCAAGGTCCTTGTATTTTGACAGCTTTTTGAATATCTTCAAAGATACATTTTTTTGTTTGTTTGTGGTCTTTAATAACAATGTCTGGGCGGTTGGCTTTGATTGTTCTGTCAGTGTGTATTGTGTAGTCCCATAGAATTGTAACAGGTCCTATCTCCGTAACCGGGTCTGGCTGGTGTTCATACCAGTTTATTTAAGTTTCCTTCCCGTAGAAGTTGCAAATTTTTCAGTGCAGATATTGGCCCACTCTGTCATGCCGGGTTTTATATTCAGTGGGTGCTAATATCGTGCAACCTGATACATGATGATCAATTGTTTCTGGATACTTATCACAGACTCTGCATTTTAGGCTAACACAATATTTTAGTATATGTACTTGATAATTCCTAGTTAACAACCATTGGTCCTGTGCAACAAGGATAAAACCTTCAGTTTCAGCTTTCAACCCTGCACTACGTAGCCACGGATGTGTATGGGTTTTGTCTACGTCAGCTTGTTTGGTACGGGCAAAGTATTGGCCATGAAGCGGTTTATCTTGCCATCGCTTCTGTATCTGGTCGGTTGCATTTGTCTTTGCTTTCTTTTTTAAGTATTTTGCAGCTTCAATTATTATTATTATTATTATTATTTCCTTGGATTTCTGTTGTATACATATTTCCTTCCGAGTCCCAACCAGAGACCTAAGGTCAGAAATGGCTTCATGATATTTTCCACTGATCATTTTTTATAAAAAAGTAAAACTTCGATCACACACACTTTACATAGATATTGTATTCTTTGTATTTTATATTTTGTATTTCTTTAAGGCATAAGATACCAGGAATACCTTCAATGAGTCTGCCGGAACCTTTTTCAATCAATCCGAGGGATCCATTATTATTATTATTATTATTATTAATAATAATAATAATATGTGTGATGTCATCTTACCAGAGAGTAATTTTAAATGCCTAATCATCCATATCCCCCAAACATGTCACATCTATAATTTTTACCAGTTTTTCGGGGCGTAAGTGAATATAATGAACCCAACTGGAATTGAAACTCGGCTATCCGATTAAAAATTCTGAGCCTTTATCTATTAGCCCAGTTCACACTCCTCCCCGGTCTTTTGAAGAGGTTTATGCCTTGATTTCTATTTAGGATTTGGTTTCCGGTTCCTTCTAAATTCTCATTCTCTTTCACTCCCAGTAGCGCCTTGCATTTTAGTGGCATTATCACCTTTAATAGATTAAAAATATGAGGGTGTAATGTCCAAAGGAACTGACCAATGACTATTGCCCTAGGGAGGCATTTTTTTTATTGCAGTTGTTGTTGCTGTTATAAACCCGTCATCCAGACTTCACCTTAAAGAACAGCTTCCCATTTTCTTTTATTTTTATCACGTCAGCAACTTCCGTCTCTCCCTTCAGCATCTGTATTTTTGTGATTGATCAATTGAAATGCCTTTCCCGCCATTTCACGAAGACATCAATGGCTGTCAGATTTTTCATGCATGTCTGCGTCTCGGGAAGATGTGAATGACGAAATCGCCAATATCAACTTTCTTCTCCACGTTTTAGCATTTTGATTCAGATGAAGGAACAAGCGCTGTACTCTTTTTTTTTTCTTTCCTCTTTTCTTCTTTAACGTCTTCATGCCTTAGCTCAATCGTTAGCGAATTGGGCTAAAACACACAGTGTATAGGAATCGATACCGTGTTCTTTCTATATGGGATATTTTATTTAAAATAGGCATTTAATCTAATCATCCAACTGTGATGTATTAAATCATTAAAATTACAAGTAATGCCTCTTATTTTATTATTCTGTTTCTTAACGTCAGAAGCGAGTGTTGTTGGTATGACAGTAGGGAATAAATCTTCCAGACTATCTCATATTTCTTTTGCCTTAAGCGTCTGGCTAAATGACGTCTGACATGAAACTGTGTACGTTGACGATGTATATCATTAAAATCTCAAAATTTACAGAGACCAGATAATATGAAAAACAACCAACAACATGTCAGAGACTTGAACGTATGTAAGCAAATATTTACATCAGGTAGAAGCTTGGGCTAGAAATATAGAAGTACCTCATCACATTATTTTGTCAAACAGAAAAATAAACAAGAGGTAGAAAAAGCCAAGAACCTTCGCATTAATCAAAACAAGATGGAAACTAATGAAATAATATTATTGCTATAATGGAAGTAATTTAAACTGAAGAAAATGTATGTTTCTGTGAGATTATTCTACAACAAGAGGTGCGGTCAAAAAGTAATACACCCTATTTTATAAAATTTGCCCACAAAATGAAAGGAGATTGTTGGTAGTATCGTAGTAGAGGTTGAACCTGGTCACTAACAACCTTTTCTTTTACGTTAATATAGGTAGAATGTGGCATTATATATATATATATATATATATATATATATATATGTGTGTGTGTGTGTGTGTGTGTGTGTGTGTGTGTGTGTGTGTGTGTGTGTGTGTGTACTACAGTTCAAAAGTTTTAGCATGGGATCAACTTGACAGAAGAGTGGAAAAAAATTAAAAAGAGCTCTTAGAGTCATTGAGAAAGAATGGAATCAATTATAGATTCCACAATGAAGAAAATGAGATAGGTAGAGAGAGAGAGAGAGAGAGAGAGAGAGAGAGAGAGAGAGAGAGATGAAGAGACTCAATATAGATAGATAATGAAGAAAATGAGATAGATAGATAGATAGATAGATAGATAGATAGATAGATAGATGAAGAGGTATATTATACCTTGATGAACAACATTATACTCACACACACACACACACAAACACACACACACACCTGTGTATGTGCGTATGCGTGTAAATAGAGGGAGAGAAATGAAGAGACATGAAATAGATTGATAGATAGAGAGGGATGAAGAGAGACTTATTATAGATTCCATGATAAAGAAAATAAAATAGGTAGAGAGAGAGAAGGAAAGAGATGAAGTGACTTAATATAGCTCGATAAATAATGAAGAAAATGAGATAGATAGATAGATAGATAGATAGATAGATAGATAGATAGATAGAGAGATGTGAACAGACTGAGAAAGAAAGAAAGAAAGAAAGAAAGAAAGAAAGAAAGAAAAGAAAAGAAAGAAATTAAGGAAATATGGAAATGAGATAGATAGATAGATAGATAGATAGATAGATAGATGTGAACAGACTGAGAAAGAAAGAAAGAAAGAAAGAAAGAAAGAAAAGAAAAGAAAAGAAAAGAAAAGAAAAGAAAAGAAAAGAAAAGAAAGAAATTAAGGAAATATGGAAATGAGATAGATAGATAGATAGATAGATAGATAGATAGATACTACGTTTTATTCACTCTCGTCCAAGACATCATTAGGATCACACTCACTACATAGGCTTTAATGATCTGTGAGACTCGCTCCGTAACAATTACACCAAAGTGAGACAATTATCGAATATATCATACCCCCCGCACCGCTAACCCAAGCAAGACAGGTGTTACTGAGAGTGAAAAAGATTGAGAAGACTTTACCGACGAGAAAGGGCAATAACAGAACATGGTTCAACAAAACAGAAGATAGCGATTGACGTTGCCCTAAAACTTTTGAAGATCCTAGTTGGCAGGTAAAAAGAATCGGGAAGAGAATTCTGCAGGCGAAAAAAGAAACTATTGGAATAGAACTTACGGTTGCATGTAGTTATTTAAATAGCTACCAATTGCCTTCGAGATATCTAAAGCCACAACCCGAGCCTTGCCGTTCTTATTTAAGGTAGGATAGACAAATTCAGCAATTACTCAGTTAACACATCAATGACTGACCTAAGGAAACAAAAGCCAAATTGTTAACCTGAAAGAATTCCATGAGAAGTGAGGGGCTTAACCAAGTAAATCGCCATAAAGTTAAATTGGATCCATGAAGAGTGTGTTGTGCCAATCTATCGCATTCGTTTTAAAATCAGACAATCTGGTTTGTTACCTGGGTTCGAGGACTAATCACATCATATGATGTGGTTGGTTTAGGAGTAAATGCGCAACCGACTCAGCCACCAGGTCTTAATATGAATTCGATCCAATTTGTCGACCTTTTCCTTTTTCAAATCACATTTAATACGGATTTTGTATGAAAGGTGGACATATCTTCAGCGATGTATTTGTTGAAAAAATGTTTTTCGTAATAACGGATTATCCTAATAAACAAAAGATTTAATTAGCGAATGAAGACAAACACACACACACACACACACACACACACACACACAGGGTATATCAAAAAAAACTTTTACACATTTTGGGGACGGATTCCTCATACCAAAACAAAAACAAAAGTGCATATAAACATATGTCCGCAAATCCTTCGTTTTTGAGTCATTATGTTTAAAGAAAGTTTACGGTAGATGGCCATAGAGATGAGGTTACATTTGTCATTCGTGTACATTTGTGGCTAGTCTGTCTTCAACGTTTAACGTGTGTAATAGTGAGTTAACTGAGAATTCCTCCGTTTAACAATGACAGGATATTCATATCGTGAGCAGGCGGCTATGATTTTTATATACGGCCACGCGAATGGTAATGGACGCGAGGCTGCACGGATGTATCAGATAGCGTTTCCAGACTGAAAGCAGACGAGTCATTCAACCTTTTCTGCTGTTTATTGTCGCGTTTCTTAGGCAGGATCCATGGCGCCACCATAATTTAAGAGGGAAATTGTTTTGAATCATATTCGTAATGGTTTGTTCATTTTTTTTTATATAAACTGTCAGAATATTTTTATTTTTCCGTTTTTAAACTGTTCACTTTGGCACTGTTTTTTTTTTAATATTACTTTTTGACCAGTCTATTTTCCAGCCATCTTCAGGTAAATCTTGTATATCTAGAGAATTTTTATAGTTTTTCGTCTTCTTTCATTCACCATCTAGAACTCTTTGATTAGGGTATTGATCTAATTTGGTTCAACTTGTCTTCATTGATTATAAATACTAAATAAATTTAAGTACTAATCAAATTTTATGATTAATTCATTTAGGTTAATCGTCTCAACGGGAAACACGTCAAATATTTCCGGGAAAAATAAAAAAAGTTACTATGTATAAAATAAAAAGCGATGGGTAAATGTCGCCCTTAAGAAGAGAATTGTTACAAGTGTTGTTTAAATTAATCGTAATGTTTCTCCCTTTAGCACAAGGGTCGGCAACCTTTTGCATAGAACGGGCCAGAAGGTTATGCTGCGTGTTGGAGGAGGTTCCATGAAATCAAATGTAATATAATAAATTCTTCCAATCTTAGACCACTCCGTCCAGAAGGCTGCCTTGGTTAGGAGGTTTAAAAATAAGTAAAGAAGTTAATGTTATATTATTTAAACAAGGTTCCTTGTTTTACTGCAGGAATAACAGGATAACAACTATAGCAGCAAAAAATGCAAATTCCTTTCTACAAAACGAAATACAATTAGAAATGGCAGTTATTTCTGCTTATTGATCGATAACTTCTCCGCATCAGTTGAAATATTTGTCGATGACAGAAGCAAAATATCATCCAAGTGGTCATCACCAAACTTTGTTATTAAAAGAATTTTAGCATAATTCATTTTCGATAGAAGTTGTTCACAAGTATATATACTTCCAAATAATATCATCATTTTCGCATTATTCAACAGGCTTTGATATTTTCCGCTTGACAAAAAATATTTCTTGAAGAAGTCAGTAGTGAATTCGGAATTAAATTTTGTTTTTAAAAATTCGTCGCGTTGTAATTCGTTTAACTTCAACTAACATTTTTTTCTGTTACTTGCTCCCCAAATTAATTAGATGATTAGAGACCAGGTGTTAAGTTGGCGGGATGGACAATAATCCTTCGCGGGTCGTATGTGGCCCGCGGGTGGGGGCCGTAGGTTTGCCGACTCCTGCTTTAGGACAAAAAGATTATGACTAATCTTTTCAGAGGACAATTAAAGGTCACTTGAAAATTTTCAGTTGATGTAGCGTTCCATCTTTTTCTCAGGCTTCCTGCTATATCACGTTGACTGTACAGCCACCGGAGTTAAGCAATGTCGACCCTAGTCAGTACCTAGATGGGTGACCGCTTGGAAATAATAGGTGTTGTAAGATTGGATGTGTGGATGGTGTAATGGATAATGGCTCTGAATTGGAAATCGGAGAGCCGAGTTCCAATTCCTGTGCGGTTCTTTATATTAACTTATGCGCAAATGTACGTGGGAAAGCTATGAATTCAACTCTTCTCCCCGCCATGTATGGGTTAAATAGTATGACTTGTATCACTAAACTCTTATTATCACCTCATAAAAATATTCAACGGGAAGATATCAAAACATCACTTAGTCATTAATCTTTTTAATATTATATATCTATATGCCGGAAATTTAAAAAGGGGATAAGGATAGAATCAAAAAGGCAACGTAAACATTTCTTCCGCTTAAAGAGGGAAGGCTGGCTAAACTTAATGCACAAGTTCTCAAGCACCTACAAACAAATACGCATGCGCACACGTACACACATGAATAAACAAACACCAATATATATATGATACATTCATATATATATTCAAATATTTAAGTAAATGCTCTGTTTATATAATAAACAGTATAAACAATATTTCTCGGACATTCAGGCAAGTAAATGTTGTTAATACTGTTTATTATAAACAGAACATTTACTTAAATATTTGTATCTATAAAATAAAAGAAAAAATGTATTAAAATAATATATATATATATATATATATATATATTTTTAATACATTTTTCTTTATACGTTATTTTATAGATAAAAATATTTAAGTAAATGTTCTGTTTTATAACGAAATATATATATATATATATATATATATATATATATATATATATATATATATATATATATACGAAATGGACCAATTCTGATTATTTTAATACATTTTTTGTTTATATATATATATATATATATATATATATATATATAATCAACAACGAAATTACTTGTACACCCATTATTTTGAATATTTTTATCCTTTTCCCAGAATCTAATGCCCGTACGATGCCAGTTTTTTTTTTGTATGTTAATAAGCAAAAAGAGGAATATAGAACTCAATTTTCAGAACTATATGTTAAATACAACAAATTTGACAGGTGAATTATATATATATATATATATATATATATATATATATATATATATATATATATATATGTGACAACAATATACAATTTTAATATATCAAGACTAATATTGGGGAAATGTATGAAAAAGTTTTCTTGTGACGCGTTTCGTCCTTTATGACTTCATCGGACTATGTTATGTTCGTGCGAATACACATGGGCGCAAACGAGGAATTGTCATAGATAGATAGATAGATAGATAGATATATAGATAGATAGATAGATAGATAAGAAAGAAACTGGGATAGATAGATAGATAGATAATGAAGAGACAGGGATAGATAGATAGATAGATAGATAGATAGATAGATAGATAGATAGATAGATAGATAGATAGATTTGAACAGAATTAGCTAGCTAGAAACAAACTATGATAGATAGATAGATAGATAGATAGATAGATAGATAGATAGATATTTGCAATAATGCTTGTTAATATATAAGCTCATGTATGTGTGTGTGTGTCTGCGTGTAAGAGAGATAGAGCCAGATGAAGAAAGCATCTCATATCAATGTGTATCATAGGAATGGAATGTGTGTGTGTGTATATATATATGTGTGTGTGTATGTGTAAAAGAGAAAAGAGAGAGAGAATGGGCAGTGAGACAGAGTATGTTGCAATGATGAAAGGGGTTATAAAAATATAGAAAAGAACGAACACCTGGATTAGCTACAAAGTAGGCCGTTGTATTTTAATCCCCACGTGACTACTGCTGCATTAATCTTATAAGCCACGTATTAGAGTGGATTATGGCTTATTGGCCACTCAAACAAATTAAAAATAAAACATGATGAAATTATCCATACAAACAATAATGACACCAATTAGATAATTCATTCTTGTGATTATGACACCAGCCGTCGACAACAAAATTATTATTATTAATTTTGCAATGGTATGTCTTTCATCTTACTTTCTATTGCTTTTTATCATAACTCCCAGATCGTTAGTCTACGATCGTTAAATAATCAAGCTAGATCAAAAATAAAGATTAAGCCTCTATCTGTTGTCCTTGCTTCTTATCGATTAGATTTCACCAACTAGATGTCTCTCAAGTAAACCATCGAACGATATATTTCACGTCCCTGAACGCCATACACCGACATATTGTTTGTTTACATTTTTCATGTATATTATCCGAGTTAGCAAAATGACATTTCTTCAGCGTCTTTACAGAGTTACATACAGGTTAGAAAAACAGTTTTTGTAATCTTCCCCACAATCTTGAACAAGGCCCAAGAGCCACTCGTGGTAGACGGTCACAGCGTGAAATGGATAGTTTATGAGTATATGTGGAGAAGATAGTATTTAACCCTAGACTTCAAAAGGTTAAGATTGTTGTGATCAGGGAAGCATCCTCTTGGGAGTTGCTTCCAGAAAGCGGGTTTGTAGGAAGAAGCTGCTCGATTGGAAGTTACATCTCACTAACGGAATACGAAGTGAATGGTTGTGGCTCGCTATAAAGTGTGTTGAATGGCATGTATTAAACTTGAAAGTTAGAACTGGTGGAACTAAGGAACGTAGTTTGTATTATCTCTAGAGCGTATTTTTAAACCATTTTCTCAAAAAGACAATAAAGCCACTAAGATTGAAGTAACTGAGTGTAAGAGAATATGAGTAAAAATACTCTTAAGGAGAACAAAAAAAGAACAAGAATTAATACGTATATTGTTGTAACCTAGAAATGAGGAATACCCAAAACGAATGAGGAATACCCAAAACGGAGGTTGGAAATGAAATGGTAATCTTTATAACATCAACAAAAGACAATACTCGCCAGCGGCGTGAAGTAGGTAAACCACTGCTAGTAGTGAACTACTTAGACAGCATATTACGATATTTACCTGCCTTCCCACGTGGTAGGATGCGGCACAAGGCTAAATTTACTGTGGCGAAATCCGAGCCCGTGGGCTCAGGGAAAAATTGCCCGTAGGCCCTGCATCTACCAACCCGGACGAGACTGTGCCGAAGGGCAGTGTCTTGTCCGGGTTCCTCTCTGCCCAAAAGCAGAGAGTTCGAGACGGCAAGAGCCATTCATTTACATCATATATCAAATATACCTGTTCCATTTGTAATGATTGCATTCGTTCGTGTCCATTGACAATCCCTTTCTTCTTGACTTTCAATTCATTCCTATAATAAAATCATTAGCCATGTATTAATTAATGCTAATTATTCTGATGAAATTGCTCTTTATGAATTTAAGCGCAGTACTAGATTGGCAGCTAGGTCTCATCATTCTACAATTGAAATGGCTAGATGTAACCGTAAGTTCTATGCTAAAAGTTACTTCTCTCGTATTTTTGCTTGTGGAAATCTCTCCCGGTTTCTTGCTTTCTAGCCAACTTTTATCTTCAAAAGCTTATATGTGTTATATACCATACCTATAAACACTAATGGGCATGTCTCAATCCTTATTGGATACTGTTGTAAGTGGGGGTAATATACCGTCTAAGCTTCCCCTGTTTTACTATCCATTTACTCAAGCTCACTAAGTATGTTATGCGTTGTATTTCTCTGTCCGTCTTGCCTTCTGTCTTGTGAGTGTCAGATTTCCCAAGCCTACTTTTTTCATTATGTACCAGAGAAACCTCAACTCTCTCTTCCTGGTGTTAAGTATACGGTCCCTTTTGTTTCCATTTTCTCTAAAACTTCGTTGTCGGTCAAATGTTCGGTCCATGATATTCTCGGGATCCTTCTGTAGAACCACATGTCTGTTGCTTCAAGTCTCTTCTTTATTTTTGAGGAGATTGTCGAGCATTCACCGTCATATTAGAGGACTGATATTACATAACATTCCTGTACTCTTTTCTTAGTTTCTAAAGAAATGTTTCTGTTTCTTAATATTTTGCTTAGCTTTGGGAAGGCATCTTTCGCAATCTCAATGCGCCTTCGGATTTCGGTGTTGCTTCCCTGATAAGTAAGTTTTTTTACGCATTTCACCCCAAGCAAGACGGGAGTGCCACTAGCACGCAAGGGGTTACAGAGAGTGAGAGCAAGAGTAAAGAGGGGGGTGTTTGAGGAAAGGATATAGAGAAGGACGGGGATCAGGATCAAGGCATCAGAAGATGTCGATTGACATTACATTTGAATATTTGAAGATTATAGTTATCAGGGAAGTAAGTAGAAGGAAGGGTGTTCCACGGTTGGGAAGCACGAGAGAAGAAGCTGTTCAAGTAGAAGAGATGGTTATATTTAACTGTTTCGACAGTGAAAGGGTGGGACCGAAATGGCAACCTAGTAACACGTTTAAATTCATGCAGCTGAGACATGAAAGTAAAAAAAAATCCGCCACCCTTAAGTAAACATCACAAAGAGAAATGGGTAAGTTCCGTTAAGAAGCATTTTCTTTCTTTTATTCATTTCACCCCAAGCAAGGCATGAGTGCCACTAGCACGCAAGGGGTTACAGAGAGTGAGAGCAAGAGTAAAGAGGGGGTGTTTGAGAAAAGGATAACGAGAAAGCATGCGATCATTCTCTCTCATAATGGTAAGGCATTAGTGGCAATGGTGTCTTCACCTGGCTAACATGCTGCCATTATGTGGGAGGTATTTCTGGGTGGTATATATATGCGAGGTATTTTTGCCGTACCCTGTATGTCTTGAAAATTTACCCAATATGAGTTGATTAATTCTAATTTTATTTCGAAAACTGTCTTGTAACATAAAATCTGGTATAATGTGCATGATCACAAACTGATCGGGACAGACAAATTTGAACCGATTGACATAGACAGCTATGTACAAATTGAAATAAATATTTTCGTGGTGGGGGGTCGATCAGTTCGTAGTATGACACAATTACTTGCTGAATCCGAAATTTTCGTTTTATAATTTTCTATGTGCTTAATTTGCGGATAGGCGTTGGCTTACCTCTATTGACAACGACAGTGATTATCTCAAAAAGTATATCTCCTTTGCCGTCACATAGTTTAATTGTGTATGTATGTGTATGTGTGTGTGTATGTGTGTGCGCGCGCGTGTGTGTGTGTTTGTGTGTGTATGTGTGTGTGTGTTTGTGTGTGTGTTCGAGACTAATGTGTGTGTTCGAGACTATACGAGATTAATTATGTCGCTTTGGTGGCTGGTATGGTTCACCTCTTTGCTCCATTATAAATTCCTGTGTAAGATTAAATCCGATTTAAGAAAATATGTCATATTTCACCTGTTGATTGATTTGTTTTTTACTGCTTATCAACCCTTTGCGAGTTATTTAAAGCCAGAAATGTTTTTAAATTGCAGGAATTATTTTTTTAGATAATAATGATTTACTGATACAAGTCTTACTAATTAATCCGTAGCTGGGGGGAGAAGAAGTGGATTCATCCCTTTCCCAATGGTATTTGGGCGTAAGTGAATATAACGAACCTAACTGGAATTGGAACTCGGCTCTCCGATTAATAATTCCGAGTGTTTATCATTACACCACCCGCACACCAGAGCATACAGCACCTGGCATTTCAAGCAGTCACCCCTCTAGGTACTGGCCAGGCTCGACGTTAATTTGATGACCGTACGGGAACCAGTGTTTCGGCGTGATGAGGCCTTGAGCCTTTATATGTCATCCGTAATGTTTGGTTGGTTTGCTTTGTTTTACGGCATATCAACCTCAATGGGTTATTTAATGCCGACAAAATTTTTATTGCTGCTTATATATATATATATATATATATCGTGGCTTGGTATATTACGTTGTTTTGTAAACAATTACCGATTAAGGGACATTCGTTCTTTATTCAACAGTTGCACATGGGTTTAATTTGTTCGTGTGGTTTGTTGATAATTTTCCTGTTGGGCTTTTTTATTATTTGTGCCATGCTCTTGGTGCAACTGTAGCTGATTTTTACTGTGTTTTTATTGAATATCTTGTGTAGTGTGCTTGATTCCGGGAAATGTAAGAGTTTGAAGAATATTTTTTCTACGTTTGTTTTTACACTTTTGCTGTACGGTGGATTGAACCATATGATATTTCTTTTCCTGTTGGCCCTTTTTGTGTTCTGTGGTGAGTATGTGAGTGTTTCTATATATACATATATATATATATAGATATATATAGATATAGATAGATAGATAGATAGATTATATATAGATATAGATAGATAGATATTTCTAGATAGAATATTTTTTTCTTCAAAAAATCTATTTCTGGTAACTTTTTTTCTTCAAAAATATATTACTGGTAATATCTTTTTTTTTCCATGAAATTATTGTTGGTATTATTATTTTTTTTTTTTTACAAAGTATTTCTGGTATTAAACCTTATTTTTATAGATTCATAGTGCATTGACCCTAGTTTAGGAGGACCCTAACATGTGCTACCTCCCCGGGTCAGGGTAGATCTGGGAAAACCAGCAATTAAGAGGTGGTTCCATGCACATCAAAACCTCTTGATCAGAGGCCTTGCTGTTGGACGTAGTTTATCGTCTTACCCAGGGCGCAGATATAGTTTATCATCATACCCTGGATGGTCAAGCGTAATGTCAAGAACTGAACGACTAGTATATTTCCTATCGAAGTCGGATGCTGAGAGAAACTAAGGGAGAATATAAAGAAGGACAAAAAATCAGATAATCAAGAAAGAAAGGAGAGGGGAAATAATTTGGAGAAAAAATTAAAAAAAGAAAAGTTTCTAGAAAAAGATGTGAAAAGTTGCTTAAAACGAAAGAAACAAAAAATATTTTAACAAACGTCTGAAAAAAAATAGACGCATGAAAATGAAAGAATGTAAAGCAGAAAATGGCGAATATCAGAAAGGAAGTGAGAGGAGGAAGGAAAATATGAAAGATCGAAAGGAAAAAAAAAGAAAAATACGATAATAATGTATAATGAAAAACAAAT